TTTTTTCTCTTTAAAATTTCGTCTTTTATAACTTTTCTTTTTATTCCTAATCTATTTTTTCCTCTGGAAATGATATCTTATTTTCTCGTTCAATTTTCTTTTATTGTAACTTTTATTTATCTCTATATTTCTTTATTTTCTCTAAAAATTATTTTTTGAATCTTGTTTTTATCTCTAAATTTTTTCCACTATAATTTTTTTCTTTCTTTCTAATTTTTTTTTTGTTTAACATATCTTTTCCTCTCGAGTTTACTTTTTTTTCTCTAAAATTTTTATCTTTTTTCTTTAACTTTCTTTCACTAATTTTTTTTTCTAAATCTTTTTATTCATATCTCTAAAATCTTCCAGAAGTTTATTTACACCTCTCTAAACTTATATTTTCATGTCTCTATATTAGGGATGACAAAAATTTCTGTAGGGTCGGGGCCCAAAAATAGGAAATGCATGTTCTGACCCCGTCTCTTATTCCATTTTTTAAATAATTAATATATATTTATTACACTTTTTTATTTTTTAAATTCTAAAAATAGTTATAAATAATTATAAAGCCGATAATTTTTCTTGAGAACATCTCTCAAACCGAAGAACTAGGTGGAGACAAAGATTAAAAATTTTCATGAGCACGAGAATGGGGAAGAGTATCCTCACTCGGTACCCACACTATTACATCTCTACTCCACATAGAAGTTTCTCTCTCTAGTATGTATTTTCAATTTTCTAACATTTTAAACAGAAAACTAAAAATGGTTACCAAACATGTTAGGTTTAAACAAAAAAGGGTTATCAAACATATATTGTTTTTGTTTTTTAAAAAATAGAAAACCAAAAACCAAAAACTAAAAACAAAAAAACCATAAACAAAAAACATAACTCGCTATCAAACAGACCCTTAATATTCAAGATCCAATATACTAGGTTAAGAAACAATGAAAATAGCTATATGAAATTAAGAATCTAAGACTCAAAATCTAAAGAATTATGCGCAAGATGAACAAAAAGAGCAAATAACTAGACAAGAATATCAAAGCAAAATTGAACAAATGAAACAATGAAAAAGATGAACAAAACTCACAGATGCTCCCAAAATCCAAAAAAAATAGACAAGATATAGCTTTTGGAACCTTAAAAGTCAAAACTTTAATAGTTTTTATAGCTGGATCTTGCAAATTAGCTTGAAGTGTATTAGAGTCATGGTAAAAATGTTGGAATGTATGCCTTAAGCTCATGAAATAAAATAAACTTAATGTGCATCTTGTCCTTTGTATCTAGCATTCATTGTTTAATTGCTCCTAAGTCATTGGACGTATTCTTGAACTAGGTATATATCAGACATACGAGAGGATATAGTTAAAGAGTAGTTGCTTAAATGGTCTACAATATATAGATAAGGTTGGAGACTTTATCTTGGAGACAACACTATTGATACGATCTACTTTGTAACTGTTACAAATCCGGATTGTTCATGTGGTGGCATGTGAGTGGAGGTATCATATGTAATGAGATTGCATAAGATTAGACCGTAGTGTGTCTTGCAATTTCTAATAAGATCGTTAGAGAAAATGCAAACATATTATTAAGGTGATCATAGACTTATTTGATTTTAATCTTGAGTGTGTTATGAACTCCTGTCTATGAGAGTCTGTTCTTTAATCTACATGGGTGAGGGTGATGTGAACGTTTCACCCAATAGCCTTCTATTCTCAGAACACATTCAAGTGGGGAGTTGGAGACATTCCTACACAACATGAAATTCACATCATCTCAATAATGGAAAGTCAAAGTGTGGATTTCTCTTTATTGATAGTGTATATAAGTGATTCCCTTAAACTGTAGGTTCGGGACTTGGAAAACATAGTACCCACTTTCTTGATACCCCAGGAAGGATTAACCGATGATGAGATCATGGACGACTATCTGTTAGAACACCAGTGAGACTTAACGAGCAAAAGATGACACTAGGGACAAAGCAGTAATTGCGTCTAGCTAGGACCATGAATCATTTTGTGAAGGATCAAACAACCTGTTATGATTATATCCAGGAATATAACTCAACTACAGTGTATGAGAGTGCAACCCTTGGTTTTTAGTGGAATCATATTGGGTTAAAGGTAAAATTGGTTAATTCAAGAGTTTACTTAATTAATTATTGCTCATTGAAGCTCAAAGTAGGTCTATTAGGTCCCCTTGCAACTCGTTAACATCTGCAATGAACAATAAGTTTGGAGAAAATTAGATAATGTTGATTATTTAATTTAAAATCAAGTTTGACTTAATAATAATAAATATAATTTATTATTACCAAATGGGGTCAACCAAATATTGGAAGTCCAATTGGATAATTTCGTGTCGTCTTTAGGTCCACTTCGTCAGGAAATGGTCTATTAAATTTTGGAAACCCAATTGGATACGTTTTGGTTGTCTCATGGAAGAATCCTTGTACCTAATTCATAAGATGGAAGCTAAGCATTAGTTAAGGAAATTAATATCATTTTAATTTCAATAATTAATAATTGGTCGATTAGGTTTTGGCCCAAAAGTCTTATAAAAGGAGACTTATAGGCCAAACCCTATAGAGAGTTCAATAGAAGACAACTATTTGAAAACTCCCAAAAGAGTACCCACACACTGTTCTTGTAGATCGAGGTTAGCCAAGGTAAGGGATTCGATCCCAGATTATGTTTGTTGAACATATTTATTTTTGTTTTAATCAAACTGTGCTATTGGATATGCTAAAATTGATTTTAGCACGCGTTTTCGCTGTGCTTGGGTGACCATATATGCGTTTTGGCTTCCAACAAAACAACTTAACTGTGTGGCGGGAAATTCTCGAATTCCGAACAAGAGTGATTTGTGAGCCTTATGGTCATTATGGAATTGTGGATGAATCCTTAGGTTGAACAAGAAGTGCTCGGAGGCGAATAAGACGATCTATCAAGTCGTAGAGATTAATAGAAAAAGTAGTTTTATCAGTTTCCGTTGGTTTCCTAATAGGAGAAGAGGTGTCCTTGTTCGAGGAGAGGAGATTGAAGGTAAGATAGAACGACACAGTGTCGTTCTCACAATGTGACTCGTATAGCAAGTGTTCTATTTGGCAGTGCTGGAAAAAATTAAGTAGGCTCTAGTTGTAAGGAAAGAGAGCGATTCATGGTATATAGATTTATTGATATGAAGTCTTTTGGATGAAACCATAAGTAAAGTCGTGAGAGTTATACCGAAGTGAATAATATCAAAAGATACTAGGGTACGAGGGCTCTGCACCCATAATTGTATCTCTCAATGGCTAAAGGAGTCTCCCGACAATTTGTATGAAATGTATGACCTCTTGAAGATTAAAAGATGAAACACTTCGGAGAATTAGAAATTAAAATAGGGAACACGCATAGAAGGGAAGATTTCACTTATTTAATTTGAATTAAAAAGAAAAAGAAAAGATTTGAAATCTTATTTTGACTAAAATAAATTGACCCAAAGGTTAGATTTGGTAGAATTAATTTTAAATTATAAATTTGCCTAATTCAATTTTAGAAAATTAGTAAGGTATAGTTAAAATCTACTATTTTCACTTTGTAATTAACTAGTGGTAAAATGAAAGAGTTAAAATATTTCATAAAGAAAATCTAGAATGTCCAAAATATAAGTAACATATAATATATAACACGAGGTGCATTTTTAGTAGAAAAGTAGAAATTCAATTGGATATAATATGCTTGTCAAATCTCAAATGCCATTTTCAAATGTTTTTCAAAACTAATATTTATGTAAATAGTTGTATAAGTTGTTCATGTTCTAAAATTTATGTAAGTTTGACATACCTAATAGGCTAATTTAGATAAAAATATATTAAATTTAAATTCAAAAATTTTAAAAAAATATTAACTTCTATAAAATAAATATTTATATACACAATCGTTGCATAAATTAACAACCCTAAAATTTTTAGGATATCTTTTTTTAGTACAATAGAGTTTGAACTCCACCTCAAACAAAAGAGTAATGTCAATTAACGCTGGATTATGTTCATATTGACAAAATTTCTAAGATATCTAAACATTGCATAAAATAAATAAAAAAAATCAAAATTATCTCTACCAAAAAATATGGGTTCCATAGTTTCCTACTAGTGACCCATACACGCCAGCCAATTGAAAAAAGTCAAAGTATTAAATATGGTATAAATGGACATCTACAATTTAAGCTCCTAATTACTTTGAATATTTTCTACTTTGCCCTCCATATTGTTGTTATATATTGTGCAATTTATGTTTTCTAATATTCAACTTTCAAAATTTCAATCATGGTATAACAAATTCCAGTACGAGATTTAAACCGTCAACCTAAAAAGGGGTAGGTGTCAATTACCGACGACTCATGTTGGCTGTTAGAAATCTCTCTTCTGTTTTTACAAAGATAGAATATCAATAAATAAGATAACTTTTTGGTAAATACATTTCTTGGGGATATTTTGATTTAATTTCTATTTGGCCCCTAAATTGAAAAAAAAACATATTTGATGTCTAAAGTTTGAATTTAAATTTTAATTAGTCGTTTGAGTTTGGTTTTTAATTAATTCTTAAGTTGAGTTAACCATTGAAATCATGATATGATAATTAATATTTATTGATCAGTCTTTGTTACTCAGATCAAAGATAAGGAATATTAGGTCAACTAACTAATAATAGTTAACTTAATTTAGGAACCAATTAGTTTTCAAATTCAAACGTGAAAGACCAATTGAAGCTAAATTCAAGTGTCAGAGGATAAATATGTCATTTTTTAAATTTTAAGAACCAAAAATCTATTTTTATACTATTTATTAAATAAAATAAAATCTAGTAAAGATAATTTAATAGGGTTGAAAAATTAGGGAATCCAAGTTGAATTGAATTATCCACTACTAAACAAAAATTATGGAAGTTCAAAGAGAAATGGCCAAAGTACCCCTATGCTCAAGAATTTTAAGAGTATATCCCACTCTTCGGTCCCTCCAATACCCAGTTTTCCCCAGCAGTGGAGAGAGGGAGAGAGAGAGAGAGAGCCACCATTTAAGCCCCCATTTACAAGCAACCGTGTTCATTAAACCATCCCCAGTTCCCCACTTTCCCAAACCCTAGATCTTATTTTATCTAAATTCTCCCAAATCCCCCACTTTTTGGTTTTTGTTTTTGCTTTTGTTTTTGTTTTCTACGTCACTGAATTTCACTGTGCGTTTTTCACAAGCACAAACTCTTACAACCAACAAAACCCCCTTTTCTCCTTTCCGATTTTTACTTCTTTAGACCCCATTTTGCAGATCTGATTCAATTGGGGTCCATCGTCTGCTGAATTCTTCTGTAGCTCCTCGTTTAATTCCCTGAATTCTGCTTCTTTAATTATCGTTCAGGTAATATCCTTGGATCGGTTGCGGATATATTGGAAAATTTTGGACTAACCCATTGAGATAAATCTTTCTGTTCGTACATTATTGACTTTTGTTGATGATTGATGGGTAGTTGTGATTTTGAGTAATTGGCCTTGAATTTAGCCTTTGGACTGTATTTCATTCATACTTTTTTGGTTGGATCTCAGATTTGAGGATATACTGTATATGCGGTTTTAGTGTTGCTCTGGTTAGAGGATTCTCATGGCAATGCCATCGGGAAATGTGGGTGTATCGAATAAAGTTCCGTTTCAGAGCGGTGGCGGAGGTGGTGGCGAGATCCATCATCAGCATCATCCACGGCCGTGGTATCCGGATGAGCGTGATGGGTTTATCTCATGGTTGCGAGGGGAATTTGCTGCAGCCAATGCGATCATTGATTCCCTTTGCCATCATTTGCGCGCCGTGGGAGAGCCCGGGGAGTATGATGTGGTTATTGGGTGTATACAACAACGGCGGTGTAATTGGACGCCCGTGCTTCATATGCAGCAGTACTTTTCAGTGGCGGAAGTGATGTATTCCCTTCAACAGGTCGCCTCGAGGAGGCAGCAGAGATATATTGATCCTGTGAAAGTGGGGCCGAAGTTGTATAGGAGACCTGGGCCGTTTAAGCAGCCCCATGGTCATCGTGTGGAAGCAGTCAAAGAAGAGGTGGTTGCGTGTGCAGATTCTTGTAATGGAGGGAATTCGTCAGGTTTTGTAGGCTCTAGGAAGGTGGAGCAAGTAAGTAATACATGTGAGGAAAGTAAGGCAATGGGGGAGGATGAGAAATTGATAGATGAAGATTCAGGGTCAGTAGAGGACAAAAAAGGTAACTTTTATTTTTGTTAATGAAGCTTGTGCAGAATTTTTTTCATCTCTGCCTCATACCAGGGATTTGAATACTCAAGTTGTAAAGATTATATCATTGAAATTAATACTACGTCTCAATTTTGATAAGATTGTTTGTTGGCTAGATATTCACGGGAAGGACCAAAGTGATAGCAAATCGAAGTGTGGGGAAAATTTAGAAGACAATGCAAGTAATAAAGAATCCCAAGTTGAACTTACTGATGATGGATGTTCTTCAAGTCATAGAGGTGAGTACTTACTACACGTTTCCTCTGTCTTACAACTGTGATTAGTATTCTCTTACTTTATTCATGTTGTAATTGATATAGTTAGAAATTACAAACAACTGTATCATAATTCGTAATTGATTTTAATTTTGCCCCTTAATCCTACTTTTTGTAATGAAATTATTGATTTTTTTTTAAATGAGAAATTGATTTTTTTTTTCTTAACTAAAGAAAACGGCATCATTATAATTATTTTATCAACCAACTCTTTCCCCAGATAAGGAGTTGCAATCTGTTCAAAGCCGGAATGGAAAGCAGAATGCTGCTGCGACACCAAGAACCTTTGTTGCGAATGAGATGTTTGATGGAAAGATGGTATAAATGTTTGGCTCAATCCTGAATTTGGTTATTGGGTTCTTTGAAGTTTGAAGGAGTGTTTCATATTAGCTTGACATGGTAGAAGGATTGAGTTGATATTATTTTATTTTCTTCAAATTCAGGTTAATGTGATGGAAGGATTGAAACTGTATGAAGAATTATTTGATGATGCTGAGGTTTCAAAGCTTGTTTCATTGGTAAATGATTTGAGAGCTTCAGGGAAGAGGGGGCAATTTCAAGGCAAGTTTCAGTTCATTTTAAGTCTTAACTCATCTTGACTATGTTTACTTGAAGAAAATTGATTAATGTTTCAGAAGTTATTACAGCACATTTCAATTAATATCTATTTTGTGAAAAATTCTTGTTATAAGGTGAAATATCCAACCAGTTGGCAATTGAATAACTTATGGCCTCAAGATTATGAATTTAAGAATGGGAATCACATGAATGTGGCTGTTGGAAACATTTGACAGAATCGGCCCCTGTTTGGGAATTTTGGACATAGTTATTATTTTGAAATAAGAAATATATTTCATTGATAAATTGAAAGTTACGGAAAGAAATCTATAGCACTCTTGTTAGAAGTGAAAATTCGAATTTACTAAATGTGCTTTGTCAAAAATTTAGTCAACTTAGGTTATTGGCAGATTCATTTGTTCTTATTTTATTATTATTATTATTTGATAACCTGTTAGAGCTTTGCTCTCCTATACTTGGGGTACCCATGCCCGCCCCAAGGTTCGGACTTAGGAGCCATAAAGAGTTTTTGTATTAAGCTCATTTGAAGACAGATTCATTTATTTTTAGATAAGAAACCAAAATATCATATGAAGAAAGGAGAAGAAGATGAGATATCTAACCCAAATGCCTGAGGTGGTAGCTCAACATCTCTATGTAGTTTACTTGGCAAGTTGAAGCTTCAACTTTTTTATTTCTTCATTTGTCAGGTCAGTTAATATGTAGATGCAAAATAATAGTAAATGCTGATATTGAACTAGCCATAGGGTAATTTATTCTAACCAAAGCTAGGTTCCATGGATTCTGTCACTCCATCTCCCTCATCTCTCCCTTTTAGTGCTCATGGAGTGCTTGTTGTCTAAAGTTGTTCGCTTTAGCCATCTTGTCTAATCATTGTTTTTCTTTCCTATGATTTATGAAAATGAATCAACTTTCCATTGGTTCACAAAAGTTACAATGAAGGACAAGTTTGAAAATAGGAACTTTTACAAATGCACCCGTTCTAAAATTAGTTATAATGATACCTACGCACATCTCCTCCCAATTTGTACATGTTTCTTCAGAAACTCTTTGATTTCCTCCATACCATAGACATGTTTGCTTTTTTACCATTCATCCTTGTGCTATCATTTATTTTCTTTTGTGTACATCTATTCTCTCCTAAACCATGAATGCTAAGCACCACTTTATTTGATATCTCATTTATCTATCTTTGGAAATCTCCATGACCATTTGATTCATTAAGTTGCATTTTATTATTCTTTGTGTTTGTGGAGCTCTTTATCCAATCATTATAGTACTTTATACTCCATCTGTAATAAATTCTAATTGGTTTCTTTTTTATAATAATAAAAAAGGGTTATGAATTGTTTCTCCTTTGTTGCAAAGAGGGATGAGAATTTTGAGTTTTTAGTTGTAGTTTTTTTCTCCTACTAAAACCTTGCTAGAGGACTGTGCCCATATCTCGGAAAGGAGGATTTAGGATGGGATAACCTCCTTTATTCTAGAACAATCCTCCGTAGATCCTAAAACTTACAAATCTACTCCATAAAACCTAGGTGAACAAACAACCCCACAAGAGATGGTCGAGATCCTTGGTCACATATCTACAAAGGCTACAACACTGCGTGCCCAACACCATGGAGAAGTGCCTTTAAATGCGCTATAAGGTGTTAACTTTATATATATATGTTTTGTGTAATGGCGGGGGTTATCTTTTGGAAGAAGCTAGAAAGGATGGAGCCTTGGGAAAGGGCAGTGTAGAACTCCTGTACTGTTGAATATCTTGTAACCCTTCAGACCATGATTTCTGAATATTAAATACTACTTTGTAAGGTTGATACCTTACAAATTGGTATCAGAACCACCTATCCAGGAGAAACCAACGAAAATAACGCAAAAGGTTTCCCCCAGTCCTGGGAAGGGGAATTTACTTCCTTGCCCTTCCTAGCATACGTATTATGTTAGGACCCCTATACCTATACCGCCACATGTAATCAGACCATATTCTAGAAGGGGTAGAAAGGGGAATGTGCAGGAGGAAAAGGCCTAACGGCCAGGAGAGAGAGTGTGGGCCAAGAGAGTGTGGTCGGGGAATGTTGTGAGTGTTAGAAAAGATCCTCCAGGTGAGTCGGGAGGTTGTTCTATGTTTTTTGCTTTGTGCTAGGCTAGGAGGAGAGGTTACCTGCCCTCTCAAATTGGTGAGGAGCTTGTATCGCCTTTGAGGCTCTTTTGCTATTTCGAATACTAATCTGGTGAAGAGATACCTCACATATTAATAACCGGGGGTCTCACATTACAAGCTAGATAGGTCGATACCTTACAGATCAACAAATCGAATCCTATCCAAATGGGTGGGAATCGTATTTGCTCGCAATAATCCTATGCCATATAGCATTCGGTTTTATAAAGAAGGCCACAGCCAAAGGGACCAACAAAGCCACATTTTGCAATCTTAGGTTACCAATACCCGAGCCTCTTGGACCAAGGGGTGCGAGACGACCTCCCAACTAAATCGATGAGAACCTCTCCCTTCCTCCACTCCCTCCCATAAGAAATCCTGCATGATTTTCTCTAAATTTTTACTCACTGAGATAGGGATTCTAACAAAGGAAAGGAAATAGATTGGCGTTCCATTTAGAATAGACTAGATGAGAGTTGATCTACCCCCCAGAAAAGAAAGCCGTCTTCCAAGAAGGGAGATGTTTTTTGCTTTCCTTTTTATTTTAGCTTTTCACATTCTCTTTAGATTAACAAGGCCCTGTCAACATAGAATGGACTAAAGGACTTGGCTTGGTATTGCCATTTTCTTAAACATTGCCAAAATTTTAATTTGAACGTCCTTGAAAAAAGGTTTTCTACACTTCTTCAAATAATACTTTGCTTAAAATTGTCAACCAAAGTAATGAAGATTTCAATAGGTACTGTTATTTCCCTTCTCTGAAACAATTGATTCTGTTATTTCTCTCCTGTGTTCATAAAGTTGAAAGATATATTTTATCCCAGTCCCAAGTTTAGATAATATATTTTATGTTTGATCACACATTCAGTTAAAAGTTTGATGCATGGAAAAGAAAATTGACTGGCCTTAAATTGTACTTTTGCTGGAATAATATTATGTTCTTATCATGAGAAATATTATTATATGGAATGATGACATATGGCATACAAACTCTCTCTTTGAAGTACAAATCTTGGTGTTATTTAAATCGCATCATGAATAGCCAAATTATTGTTTGGAAAATTTACTTTTTTCACCTATCTCTGATAACTTGCAATGTGTGAAAGGGTTAAATAAAGCCCTTATTGGTTTTTTTTCCTCAATAGGTAACACTGGATAACTTACAATATGAGTGCATGTGAAAGCAATGTGAAAGTTTCTAGATCTCCACGAAGTGGAAAGAATAGCTGCACCATTAGTATTGTAATCATACAGCTAATTTCATATGGGTTTTGTTTGAGACGTTGTGAACTTGGGTTATTTATACTGATTTAAAAATAATAAATAATGTGTTTTATGGAAGAATTGGGTAATTTCCCATTCTGACTAAAATTTAAACTGCAGTTGGCTCGTTTCTTTTTAGTGCATGTTTAGCTTGTGTGCACTTTTTGTATAAAATCTAATGTGCTACTTTTCTATCTTAACATAATATCCGACAATTTATGCTAGTGAATCATATATAAACTATGAAGATGGACAATACTTTTACATTTTTTTATTTTATTAAGAATCAAACTGAATTGTGAATCATTTTTGCTCTTGCCCAAAATCAGGTCAGACATATGTGGTCTCAAAAAGACCTATGAAGGGACATGGGAGAGAGATGATCCAACTAGGCTTTCCCATTGCAGATGCGCCTCATGATGATGAAACTTCTGCAGGGATCTCAAAAGGCATTTACCATTATCTTTCATTGGAGATTGCAATTTTTAAATTTTAGTTTAGCTACATAGCAATAAAAATATATAGTTCGATATTAATTTTTGTCCGATGCGACATTTTAGATCTTCATTTTTAGTGAATTTTACAGATAGAAGAATAGAACCAATCCCCTCCTTGCTTCAAGATGTCATTGATCGCTTGGTTGGTGAGCAGGTGATGACATTGAAACCAGATTCCTGCATCATTGACTTTTATAATGAGGTAGCCGATCATGTTCTTGTTTTTAGCAGGTGTTTGTTATGCATGTTCTAGACTATGATTTTTGTTGGTTAATATCCTCAGGGAGATCATTCTCAGCCTCATGTCTGGCCACCATGGTTTGGGAGACCTGTCGGTGTTCTCCTTTTGACTGAATGCGAAATGACCTTTGGTAGAGTAATTGGAACAGACCATTCTGGCAACTATAGAGGGGCTATGAAGCTGCCTCTTACACCCGGGTAATTATTGTATTCTTTTGCTGCATATATTTCTGAATCTTATTTCATGATTGTCTCTCTGCAGACTGTTTCATTTGATATTGTGTAAGCAGTTCCATTGTAATTATAGTTTGCTGGTTAATTTGTTACGAGTTAAGACAGTAGCTCCAAGAAGCTGTTAGAGTAACTTCTGGAGAAAAGGGGTTATATTCATTAGAAACTATCAGAGTAGTTGCCACGTTTCTGTTCTCATTGTTGCATCGTTTTGCTTGCCTAAGAATTTGACCACCACCATGGTAATGAGCTTACATATCACCTTCCATCATGTCCCAACAATCTCTGTTTGGAGCTAAACTAACACCAATTATTGGAAGAAAACTACGCCTGATTGTGGACAATTGACCCTTCCATTAATTATCAAAGGCATCTGATGCCCGCTTGTATAAAATACATGCGGACCTAACATCATAAACAGCAATCTTTTGACAAAGTTATAGTGTTAATCCTTCCTTAAGCAACCCAGAAAAACCTGGTCATCAACCTTCCAAAGCTTGAAAATGAAGTGGAACGAGGGGTAGGGTGAGCAGAATCAAGCCAGTAAAAAGAGATTGACAAAGACAAAGTGCCCAATGATCAAGGAGGTCCACTTATGATAGTGACTCAGAATTGTAACCATCATAGGTTAGCCCAATAGTAAAGGGTTCAGAGTTGTGGGCTCAAGCCAGGGTGGCCACCTACCTAGGATTTAATATCCTTTCAGTTTCTTTGTCGACAAAAATGTAGTAGGGCTAGACAGTTGTTATGTGAGAATAGTCGAAGTGTGTGCAAGCTAGCCTAGATATAAAAATAAAAATATAGAATAATAATAAAAAATAGTGACTTAGTATTGGGGATGAGAGATTCTATGAATCAAGGAGAAAAATTCCGATAAATCCAGCATGATTTGTGGATCTTTTAAATGAAATTTGTGGGAAAGGCTCAATGTCGCATATGCAGTACCAATATGTGAACATTCCTTGTTCCATCATAATTTCCTGTTGCTGCGGCTATACTTGAATATCTTAATATATATACTTGAAAACTCGCATTATCTTTTTGAAATTATCTGATAGAACTAAAACTCAGCATTATCTTTTTGAAATTATCTGATAGAACTACATGCATTTTGCAGTGTATTAACTAGCATCCTCCTTTTTGTCGTGTATTATCATGTGTATTTGGCTAGCATCATCCTCTCTGTGTATTTAGCTAGCATCCTCCCCCATCATCACCTAGACAGTGAAAGACAGATTTTTTTTTATTATTATTTTTTTTAACAAGATACAAACTATCTTCTCATAGATATGAGAAAAAGATACAAAAAGATGTTCAAAGGAAACAAACTCCAAAAAGGAGTGTAAAAAGTATAGGAAAAAGCAAAGCTCTAATGAGGGAACTGGTTAGCAACTGAAGAGCATTTCTACCTGCATTGCATTATTGGCAAAAAAATCCACTGTGCTTCAAACATCTTTAAGGAGAGAAACCCAGAAACCAGCAGCATAAGAACACGAGAAAAAGAGGTGATTTTGATTTTCATCATCTTCAAAACATGGTAGACACACTGACAGCTGTAAAACGGAGGAGGATAGCTTCCTTTGAAAAACTTCTGCCGTATTTAAGCTTGAATGAAGCATAATCCAGAATAGAGAGCATTTACTTTCTTAGGGCTCTTAATTTGTCAAATAGCCGAGTACTCCTGTGATAAAGGAGAGGAAAAAGATAGATGAAGAGGAAACTGAAAATTCACCCAAAGGTTCAATTTTTCAGAATTTAGCATGCTACTACTGCCAAACTTGCCAACAGCATGCTAAATTCCTCAATTTTATCCTATTTTAAGTTTCTTCTCGCTCCAACTTCTCAAGACTTGTGATTATCATCCCAATAATAAAAACAGAACCATTAGAGAAAGAAATCCCCCGATATAAATGTGGATACATAAGTTGAGAGGAACACTTACAAACTAAATATCATGTCATAAAGAAACATTTTCACCATTTCCAACCTCGAACAATGTCAAACCTTCCACAACCACAAGCTTTCATTATTTTGATATGTTGCCCAAGGACATCCCAAACATCCATGCTTCTTGCTAGTTGTGTGCCAGACAAAAGGTTCAAAAGGCCATAAAGGCTGGGAATGACCTTATGCTGGAAGGCTGTGGGTTCATTGCAAAATCTCCAGCCCCATTTTGCAAGGAATGCTTGCTTTTCAGTTTTAGACCACCAATACCCAATCCTCCTTCCTCAATTGTTTAGAAACAAGTTCCATCTGATCAAATGTTTCAACTTTCCAATATTACTGCCTTCCCAGGAAAAATTCCGCATCAATGTCTCGATTTGCCTACAAACTTTGGGAGGCAGGAGGTAAATTGACATGAAATGAATTGGTATTTTAAAAGTAAACTCACCAATTCCATATTCAATAGTTGAAACAATCTTAGCAAATTTTTCCCATTCAAATTAATAGGTACAATAACTTCAACACATCTACATTCAACTTGGAAAGACCCCAGAATGATATGAACTACTAACTAAATATCTCCTCACAAATGTTAGAATAAATTGGGATATTGTTACATTTAATCTCTCTGTGGGATTCAGTGTCTTGAGATTTTTGAAATTATGAGCTAGGTCTTATTTAATTGGTGCCTAGTATTTGGACTCCTTTTGCAGGGCTGGTCTTTGTAATGCCTGATATATTCTTTCATTCGTACCTACGAAAGCTTGGTTTCTCATTTTTAATCAAATTAAGAGGTCCTTGCTGTATTACTTTCTTGATAAACCTTTGACTTACATCACTTGAACTGAAATTAAATGTGATGGTGAAGGCTTCATTTGCTTTCTATTTGTGCGTTTTATGTTGATTATCTCACTTCCTGATATGTACTGATTTTTCACCTTTTATGACTCAGAACCCTTCTTTTGGTGCAAGGAAGATCTGCAGATTTTGCCAAGCATGCGATACCTGCTATCCGCAAGCAACGTATACTTGTTACCTTGACCAAGTCACAGCCAAAGAAAGCTGCACTAGCTGATGGGCAACGCACATCATCGAACGTAGGTCCGTTTTCCAGTTGGGGCCCTCCATCTGCTCGATCACCAAACCATCGTCTTCCCCCTGGACAGAAGCATTATCCCACAGTTCCATCAACTTGCGTGTTACCCGCACCACCCATTCACTCCCAAATGCCCCCACCAAATGGCATCCCGCCCTTAATTGTCCCTCCTGTGGCACCACCTATGCCGTTCCCTGCTCCCGTGTCGATCCCACCTGGTCCACCCGCTTGGCCTGCTGCACACCCAAGGCATCCTCCGCCCCGCCTACCTGTTCCAGGCACTGGAGTATTCCTCCCTCCAGGATCTTCCAGCACTCCACCCCTGCAACAGTTGGCGAGCTCCACGGTCGAGACAGGCTCCCTCACAGAAAAGGAAAATGGTTGTTCGACGAAATCCGATCACAGTACAGCTGCTTCTCCAGGAGAGAAACCTGAAGCAAAAGCAGAAAGACAAGAGTGCAATGGAAACATGGAAGGAAGTGAGAGTGGTAAAGTAGCAGCAGAGGAAGAGCAGCAGCAGCAGCAGCAAAGTGGAGGAATTTAGAGAGAGAAGCACATATAAATATATTGTTTTATGAAGAAAGAAAAGCAGGTAGGCTGCGGAGTTGAATGAGTTACAAGCAAAAATGTAAAGGGCGGCAACATTCAAGACTGATGATTTTCACACACTAGACACTACACTACACTTCTACTGTCAAGGAGAACAGAACAAGGGGAAGTTCTCTTTGAAAATCCTTTTAGTTCATTCCTTTCTCTTTTTTGTTGTCCTCAAAATTCTTGATTACATCCCAAAACTCATTCCTAATGCAACTTTGGATCTTTCTTATCACAGATTTTGACCACTCAGAATCAGTTTTTTGAATTATCAGGGAAAGTGTGGAATTCATCATCAGTTTTATACTTTGTGGTTTTTTGTTATTTTTTTTTAAAATTATTTTAATCACATATTTGTTTGGTTGTACTCTATCTAAAAGTGATTTTATAAATGTCAAATTATCATAAAATAGTTTTCTAAGTTATTTTTAGTCAACTTTTTTTTTTTAGAATTCTCAATCTAGCTCAATTGGTTTATGCACTTATTTTTTATCAAGGGGTTGTGGGTTCGAATCCTTACTTCAACACGTTATACTAAAAAAAGAAAAAAATATCTTTTAGAATTAATAAAAAATATGATTTTAAATTAATTTAATTATCTCAAAATCATTTAGGAGATTAATTCAAACATACTCTAGTTCAAAAGATGTCATAATTGTAAGAACTACTCATTAACACAACTTCAAATTGATGCTTTTTATTTCATATTTTATCATAACAAATTGGTTGAATAATTAAAAAAAAAATCCCTCTAAAATATGTTATGACATGAAATTTTGAAACCAATTACATTGTGTAAGGTATCTCCTAACTAATTGATATTCAAAAGGTAGAAATAGCAAAATGTAGAAATAGCCCTTAGGCTTACATGGACTCAACCAATTCGAGGGGTTGACGGCTCTCCCAGTTCTGGCTCCAAAACTAATTAAGGGCTTAGATTAATCACAATACTAACCATCACTAGAGGAATTTATCCCTTTGCCCCTCCTAATATAAGTGTTTACTATTGGTGGCCTCACACTACTCCGGGGAGAAAGACACCTTGTCCTCAAGGTGGAATTGTGGAAATTGGCACTGGATGGTCGTGAGGAGTTCCCAAGTGGCTTCATATTCAGGTAGATGTTTCCATTCGATCAACAGCTCCCAATCACTGGTGGATGGATTCTTCCTCACGCTTTAGGAGGCAGCTCCAATTTGTAGGCAACGGTTCCAATTTTTTGGAAAATACGATAAGACCCGAAATACTTTGGAGATAGCTTCTCACAGCGGCGTCGAGCCAATGTCTGTGGACGGTATGGCCGGATTTTGAGGTATACCAAGTCTCCTTTGTTAAACTCCACAGGTCTTTGGTGCTGGTCTGCAAATTTCTTCATACTATTTTGGGCTGTTGCTATATGCTCCTTCAAAGTAAGAAGAGCTCTGTCCCTCTCAATAAGCTACTGCTCAAGTGTGTCATTGGGGGTTCGCTTGTCACCATAAGAAATTAGTGGTGGGGGAGAACGTCCATAGACGATGTGGAATGGGATCGTATTGGCCAAGATGTGATAGGAAGTATTATACCAATACTCAACCCAAGGCAGCCAATTACTCTACTGCTTCGGCTTCTCACTGCAGAAACAATGCAAATAAGTCTCAAGACATTTATGGACAATTTCTATTTGGCCATCTGATTGCAGATGGTAGGCTGTACTTCAGTGCAAACAGGTGTCTTGTAGTCAAAAGAGCTCAGTCCAGAAGTAGCTAATAAAAATTTTGTCACAGCAATAGACTTCGGGAAACCATGAAGTCGGACAATTTCCTTCACAAACACTGTTGCGATCGTCTTGCCTGAAAAAGGGTGACTGACGGGGATGAAGTGGCCATATTTGCTAAGGCAATCTACCACCACCAAGAAGGCGTCGTGGTCGGTGGATTTTGGGAGACCTTCAATAAAGTCCATTGATATGTCTTTCCACACACGGTCCGGTATAGTTAAGGGCCGGAGGAGGTCGGCTGGAGCAACCGCCATACTCTTGTTGTATTGGCAAACTGTACAAACGCTCCACATGGTTTTTAACATCTTGCTTCATTCCAGCCTAGTACAATTCACTAGTCAAACGTTTGTAGGTGCGGAGAAACCCCGAGTGGCCCCCAAAAATAGGGTCATGATAGGTGTGGAGAACGGAGGGAATAAGAGTGGAATTCTTAGAGATGACCAATCGACCTTTGTAGTATAGGGTTCCTTGCTGGAGAAAAATCTAGGCACACTATCTTCGTCAGCTTGTGATTTGGATCAAGTATGGATCTTGCTCAACCTCCGCTTTTATGACTTCCACATTAAGGATGACTGGGGTGGTCAAGGCATTGATCTCCACCGTGGTGGCATCCAGGGCATCCGCCGCTTTATTCTCTACTTTGGGACTGTACTGAATCTCGAAATCGTACCCCAGAAGTTTGGACATCCAACGTTGGTACTCCAAGGGAGTGACTTGTTGCTCCAGAAGGTATTCAACGCTTGTTGGTCGGTGCAGATGATGAACTTGTGGCCCAAGAGATATGACCTCCACCGTTGAACTACTAACACGACGGCCATAAACTCTCGCTCGTAAACAGATATCAACTGTGCTTGTGGGGACAGGGCTTGGCTGAAAAATGTGATGGTTTTGTGAAAGAACTACGCCTAACCCGATACCTGACACGTCGATTTCAATCACGAAGGCCTGAGCAATGTCCGACAATGCTAAAATAGGGAGAGTGATCATCGTGTGCTTAAGTCTTTCGAAAGCCTTAGTTGCGGGCATCATCTGACCATTTATAGGCGTTTTTTTTAGGAGTTGACTCAAGGGTGCTGCAATCGTCCCATAATCTGCTACAAACCGTCGATAATACCTCGTTAGGCCTAAAATACATCTCAGGTCCTTGATATTGGTTGGAACCGGCCATTGAATCATCGCCCTAACCTTTTTAGGATCGGCCTCTACGCCCTTAGCAGACACTCAGTGTCCCAAATAGTGAATGCGGGGTTGGCAAATCGACACTTCTTCAAATTAGCATACAATCGATTATCTTGCAAGACATCAAACACAATTGCAAGGTGACGTAAATGAGATTCCAAATCCTGGCTATAATTAAAATATCATCGAAAAGATCAGAATAAACCTACATAGGAAGGGTCGGAAAATTCGTTTTATAAGTGATTGGAAAGTGACCGGCGAATTTGTGAATCTGAAAGGTGTCACCAGAAATTCGTAATGTCCCTCGTGAGTCTTGGAAGCCGTCTTATCTATGTCGCGATCATGGACTTGTATCTGGTGGTAACCCAATTTCAAGATTCATGTAGGAGCTCTTTCACCACCGAAAACGGAAATTTATCCAATGTGGTCACCCTGTTTAACGCCCGATAATCCACATAGAATCGCCAACTTCCATTCTTTTTCTTGACCAACAAGATGGGACTAGCATATAAGCTCATGCTCGGTCGAATGAGTCCGACTCTCAACATTTCGTTTATTAACCGCTCTATCTCATTTTTCTGGACGTGCGGGTATCTATATAGCCGTACATTGACCAAAGGATGTCCTTCAATAGTGGAATGTAGTGATCTATGTCTCGTTAGGGTGGGAGTCCAGGCAGTAGGGAGAAAACAAACCAGGAAGTAATCGATCCACCCCTGGGTGTAGCGTACTCAACAGTGTTGCGTTCGGTTCTTCCAGTGCTCCGTTAGGTCCAGTCAAGGCTCAACATTCTACCTAGAAGCCTTGGTCACTCGCCTCCTAACTTCATGCTAGACGTTTTAGCACACTTCCCTTTTCGTTATGGATAGATCCCCCTTGAGAACCACTATCTTGCTCCCACGTCTGAAAATCATGGTGAGGCGCCCCCAGTCGACTTCCATCGAACCTAGGGTAGATAGCCATTGCATACCTGGGACCACATCGATACTTCCCAGGTCCACCACTAAGAAATTTTCCATCACGGTCAGCCTTGGAGTTTAAGCACTACTCCCTTACAGATTCCACACCCTTTAACCGCTACTCTCATTCCCATAATTATCCCATAGCTAGTCATATATGCTATTGGGAGTTATAGATCAGCTTCTACTAATTTTTGGGCGATGAAGTTGTGTGTGGCACCAATCCACCAAGACTACCACCTCCGTTTGGTTGATTTCCCCATTGATTTTCATCGTGTATGGGGTTGAGAAACCGACTAATGTGTTTAACGATAGCTCTACTGCTTCTCCTATCTCCTATGTGCTAACCGCCGATTCACCGCCACTCTTGATTTCGTGTACATCGATCTCGTCGTCGTGTGCCATAAGGACCTGTAGTTCCTGGTTCTTACAACGATGTCCTACCGAGTACTTTTCATCATAGTTGAAACACAAACCCCTTTCTTTACGAGAGAGGTATTCAGTTTCAGAGAGTTTGTTGAAGCTGTGATCTTTGTGTGATGGGGGGCGAAAATGGCGTATTGGTTAGGTAACCATCCTGGTTGGTGGGATATGATTTACAATCTTCGGGGTTATTTTGGATGCCATATGCGTTGGGCCTTGTACCGCATTTGTTGGGCCTTGGGCAGTCTTCGTGGTCTGCTCATTAAAAGCCTGCACCACAGTATTTGTGTCTTCAATGACTTAGGTCGTCCTCATGATTTTCTTTAGCCCACTATTCTCCCTACTCAGGATTTCTGCCCTAATCAAAGGGATGAAGTCCATTCATAAACGTATTTTCTAATACTTCGTCCGTCAATCCCCGCACCGGTCCCGCCCATTCTTCAAACGTGCGGCGATATCCAGCCACCGTCCCTTCTTGTCGGATAGTTAGAAGTCTTGCACAAAGGCTTCCCTCTTGTGAAGGTTGAAACCGCACGAAGATTCTGATTTTCAAATCATCCCAACTCTTGAAGTCCTATTCCCTTGCTTCTCATCGGTACCACGACAGTGCTGCCCATCGAAACTCACTATCGCCACCATCACCTTCTCTGAATCTGTTAGGCGATGAATGTCAAAGTACTGCTCGGCCCTGAATAACCCACGCGTCAGGATCGTCCCCTGAGAATATCGACATTTCAACCTTCTTAAACTTGCTTCGGTCGTACGTCAGCTCTTTCTCGTTTTCTTGTGTCACCCTATCTTTCGTCGACCCCCCTATTTCTACCACCTCATCGGGCAGTTTTCTCTTCAGACTAGACCTCTCCCCACTTTCTGACATATTTGCCCAACTTTTCGTCCCAGATATCTTGGAGACGAGGATCGCCACCTCCTTCCCTTGTTCCTCCATCTGGTGTGATATCCTCGCTAGACTTTCCTTTATGTTT